CTGACTATCCCACCCACGATGAACGTTCGGATAGATCTCCCACGACGTTCAACACCTCGAGCAGCAGCGAAACGGGTTCTCACTGAGCGCCTAGATATCGAAGGAAATGGATTTAAATGAAAATCTCCCTCTGTAAAATTAAAGTAATTTTTCAAATATTTTTAATTTAAAGTTATGTATTTTCCGTTCAGAAAGTGATCTAACTTAATTTTTAATTTGAAATGCTAAGGCAAATAAAGTTTTTGAGTACTCATATTATACGTAGTCCGAACTTGCTATACTGACTTGCCGTGCTAAAATTAAGAGGCATTTCAACAGCTGGAGGTGGTAAAACTCAGAAGCTGAAGGGGGCCATCAAAGTTCTAACTCCCCGGAAAAGTCAGAGGTACCTATGAAGAGTCGTCTAGGCATCCACGGATTTACGAGTACAAATATAGTAATCGGAGTAGATATTCTTATATTTCACACTCATCACAAAGTCATATCACAAAGCAGACACGAACTCGCCTGGATTGTCGAGTAGTAGCGCATTAACGAATCGTTCGCTTTCACAAAGACAGTTTCTCAAAAAACGGTAAGACAAAACTATCGATTTATTCTGAGTTCTATCACTGTAATATCAACAAAACGACAAAAACAACTATCCTATTCAATTGGAAAACTATCAACAACAGAAAAAGCAGAGCTTTGTACAAAATGGACTGGAATAACAACTAATAAAAAAATGTTTGTTATAATTTAGCTTGAAAACAAGGTAAACAGGATAACCACTTCATACCACATCACAGTTGAACACACTCGCAAACTGCTTTACCATTTTCGGTAACGTTTCGTCAATAGAAATATCTCGACAACATTCTCGACTTAAGGACGTCGCTTCGGCTCCCTCAATGCCGCATCCGACAACCTGGAGAATTTCAAGAAAGACTGAATATTTCATAACCTCGCTATCAGCTTCAAGTTTACATCACTTTCACAAACGTACTACAGTACCTACTGAACCAATGGCAAGGGCATTGCTATTGTAAAGATTGCAAAGCCAAACAAACTTTTGGAAGGCTAATTCAGTGTATGATATGGTATACACTTACGTGATCATACCAACTCAAATCCGTGTTACAGTTCAACGCAATACCATGATATGAAACTCCGTGCGAAACAGCAATTCCAAGGGCTGCTAGCTTCCGGTTTTCACCGACCCATACTCCTGGAATTTTAATTAGGAAGTATTAAAATAAGAAAGGGTTCAAAATTAAAACAATTTAAGCAAATTTAATTACAATGAATTGTAAATAATCTACAGTAATCGTAGCCAGCAGCACAGGGGAACTACTCGCCCGACAGATTTGATCACCTACAACTTCTTGAACTGAGCTCATCATATAACTCATCAAGAGTGTCA